ATGCTGCTTGGCCTGCTGTGTTCATCCAGCCCTGCACCTTGTTGTCTGCGATAGTAAAAGGTTGGCTGTACTCAACCGGTCTGAAGGGAATGCATCCTCGGCTGCATAGGTAAGTGGAGAAAAATAGCAGAAGCTCTGGCTACAATCTTCCAATCCTCTTTAGACGTAGGAGTGGTACCAGAGGATTAAAGCATTATAAATGTTAGGACCCTGTTCAAGAAAGGAAGAGGGGTCAATCAGGTAATAAATCAGTCTAACATCAGCTGTACAGAAATCTGGGAAAATCTTAATGGTCATTTGGAAAAACTGAGTTTACAAATGTAGGCTGACTGTCCTTAATTAAAAGCAAGTTGTGCTTGACTAACTTGATTGCATTTTTAAATGAAGCAACACAAGAGGGTTGAAAAGGGTGTTGCAGCTGATGTCATATATATTCTCAAACAGGGTTTGAATCTGAGTAAGACAGATGAAATTCAAATCAGAGATCTCTGAAGTGATGAGTTTTTTGAGGAAAAAAATGTAAATTCTATGGCGCCGTTGTGAAGTGAGTACAGGAACAGACAACCTGTCCAGAATTCCAATAACGGCAGTCCAGGTTGATAAGGCTGTTTAATAAACATATGAAATCCTAGTTTTCATAAATTGAATACAAAAGCAGGACTTTAGAGATTTATACACCATTGGTACAGGTTCAGCTGGAGGATTGTATCAATTCTGAGCATCACACTTTTGGACAAGTGGAGATTATGTGATGGAGAATTGTAAAAATGGTGTAAGGGAACAGTGGCTTATCCACAAGCACAATCAGAATCAACCATGCCTCCTATTTAATTAATCACACTCTAAACCTACTGTGATTATTTACACAGTCATATTTGGAATTGACTGTAACTTCAACAAACAGAATTTAGCACTATCAACAATCTACAGACATCTGAAAAGTTCCCTTTTTCAGGTGGTATGTGTACAAGTCATAGCTTTACCATACATTTTGATGCACTGTATAAATAAGACTGCAAAAACTATAATTTTAACTGATATTTTTTCTCAAAATTTACATCATAAAATGGGTAGCACCTTGAATCTAGAAGATTTCATGGCCAAAAGCCAGTTTCCAGATGTGAAATAATCTGATAGGTGATGTTTCTATTTAAATTCATATTGCAGAAGCATTTCAGCAGTAACACTACAAACAACTGCGTTGAATTTTTTGGGTTGCAATATTACAAATTATATGGATTTTTAAAAATTAATTAACGGGATGAGGGTGTCACTGGCTAGTTCAGCAATTGTTGCCCATCCTTAATTGCTCAAAGGGCAGTAAAGTGTCAACCACTTTGGAGTGGGTCTGGAGTGACATGTAGGCCAGACTGGATAAGGATGGCCGTTTCCTTCCCTAAAGGATATTGGTAAATCAGATGACAATTGGCAATGAACTCACAGTCATTATCAGACTCCTAATTCCAGATTCTTTTTTGCTAAATTCAAATTCCACTAATGTGCTGCGGTGGGATTTGAACCTAGGTTCGTTACGTGGCCTCTGGATTAACAGTTTAACCATAATACCGTTAGACCTTCCCTGTATACAATAATATAACGGAGTTTTTATAGATGAATCTTTCACTTTTAAGAATTGAGGATAACAGATGCCCTGTGAAGTGAGATGCGACACGGCATTCACATAGTTAAAATATAAAACGGAGAATTTTCAATAAAAGTATCTGATCTTGCATTGGCGTGGTAATTAAAAGTAGAAACCAAAAGAACTGCGGATGCTGTAAATCAGGAACAAAAACAAAGTTGCTGGAAAAGCTCAGCAGGTCTGGCAGCATCTGTGGAGGAGAAAACAGAGTTAACGTTTCGGGTCCGGTGACCCTTCCTCAGAATTGAAAGTGTAATTAAAAGTAGACGCAGTTTCTCAATGGGTCATGTAAACAGCCATTGGTCAAGTGCAAACATTTCCATTAAAAGTTTAGTTATCTATATTGGGATTGATGACTAGGGAGAAACTCACTCTCTGTCTCCATGCAAAAAAAAAGGTGTTTTGGATGCCTCTTGTCACTTACCACCAGAGGGATGGAGCACACCAGGAAGACGATGGTCATAAGAACCAGGAGCCAGAACATTTGCATCTCGGCGGCGGAATCGGCCAGATTGGGGAAGCGGCGACCCCTGGAGCCTCCGGTAGCAGCAGCGTCCCTCCTCCCCATGGCTTTCTTCCTCATGCTGATGAGGGTGACACAGACCGACAGGTTACACAGGACAGTCACCAGGATCAGGAAGGCGCTGAAGCCTCCGTAGATGTAGGTGTAGGAGGCGGATACTGTGCTGTTCGATCTCCAGTCCAGGAAGCACCAGGTCCCGGGGAAGTGCCGGACGTTGCTGCCCAAGCCGAAGGAAGGCAGGATGCAGAAGACCAGGTTGAGCAGGTAGACTCCCAGCAGGGTCAGCCTGGCCAGAGCCTTGTCGATGTATTGGCTGTAGAAGAAGGCGTGGTTGATGGCCAGGTAGCGCTCGATGGACATGGTGCACAGGATGGTCATGCCAGCCGAGCCGAAGAACAGCATGGAGAAGGAGAAGAAGTGGCAGAGCGGCTGCCCGCCTGGCCATTGCTGGGTTAGGTAGGTGGCTATCACCACCGGGCTGGTACAGCAGGTGCCCAGTAAATCAGTCACTGCCAGCCCGCACACCAACGTGTAGAAAGTGGTCTCTTTCTGCTCTTTCTTGGAGACACACAGCACCACGATGGCAATGAGATTGCCCACCACCCCGATGGTGAACATACTAGCTGAGGTCACTACCTGGCTAGACTTGATGTTTAAAGACATGGTCAAGCCGTTGATCGAGGTGTTATTGACTTCCTCCCAGCTCGCCTGGCTCACAGACTCAACCATCGTCTTGGTCAGCATCCTCCAGAGCAAGATGTAGCTGACACCAGCTTCATCACAGACACAGAGAGGGGGCAAACACGCGGTCACTGCGTTGTGAAAGCAGCAGATCTCACAGACAAATCTGTGCGCTGCACGGGTCTTTTCCCCTCTCCCGGTCTGTGCTACAGCGATATCCTGCTCTGCTCGCTGCTGTTCTGAGTCTCTTCCCAACGCGCTCTCTTTTTAAAATCCGAAACTGCCTCCTGCAGGTGACACAAGCGGAGATCTCAGACGTCACCGCCTCGGACGTTAACAACAGCAACTTGACAGCGGTAACACGGCGGTGGAATCTGCCGGGAGCTCTCTCCGCCTGCACACACTGCATTTCCATATTCCAACCAGGAGGAACGTCCGGACAGTCACGACATGGAGACCCACGCTCCCAGAAGTTGAAGTCAATGGAGCAGGGAAGCTGGACAAGTACAGGATTGTAAAAACGGAATCAAAAGATTTTGCTGATAATGTGATGAAGAGGGATGGCGAAGAGGCAATTAGTATGGTTTGGCAGAGTGGCCTGTTTGGAACCGAAGTTTCCATATAATTCTGTGACTTCATATTTATTAATTGGATTGTCTATATTTATTTGTTATGTCAGTTAGTGGGGTTAAATTGTACTTTAATTCTTCTCACTGAAAGTAAATGACTTTAAATACCCATTGTTGATTGCTTTCTAGATCTGATGGCGAAGGCCATCAGATATTGCTCTGAAACTCCTATTTCTTTCCTTTTAACATTGACCTTTCTTTGGCTGCACTATATATTTGGACACCTGAAAACTGCTGCACCATTCAATTAGAGCATGGCTGATTTTTTTTTACCTCAACATCATTTACATATGCTATCCTCATACCCCATTATATCTTTTAATATTTGGAAATATAGAGAACTCATTTTTGAACGTACTCAATGACTGAATCTTCACAGCTGTCTGGAATAGAGAATTCCAAAGATTCTCCACCCTCTGAATGAATAAGTTCCTCCTCATCTTGGTCATTAAATGGTCTACCTACATTTCGAAGATTGCCTTTCCTGGTTCCAAATCCCAAACCATCCTTCCTGAATCCACCCTGTTAGGATTTGTAGAATGAGATCACCTCTCATTCTTCTAAACTCTAGAGAATATAAGCCCAGTCACCTCAACAGTTCCTCAGAAAGCAATCCCTCAATTCCAGAAATCTGTCTAATGAATCTTTGTTGCACTCCCTCTAGGGCATGTGTTTTTTTCACTATTTGTTTGTGGGATGTGTCTACATTGGCTGGCTAGCATTTATTGGCTGTCCCTAATTGCCCAAAGGATAGTTAAGAGTCAACCATATTACTGTAGATCTGAAGGCACATGTGGACCAGACCAGGTGATGGTGGCAGATTTGCTTCTCTGAAAGACATTAGTGAACTAGATGGGTTTCTATGACAATCAAAATTAGTTACATGGTCACCATTAGTGCTCAGTTTATAATTTCAGATGTTTTAAAATTTCACCATCTGCCATGGGAGAATTTGATCCCATGTCCCCAGAATATTAGTCTGAGGCTATGGATTACCAGGCCAGTACCAATATCACTAGTCCACTGCTTCTCCCCAAAAGGAAAAAGCTTTTCAAACTTTCAGTTAATAGACCAATTGTGCCACAAAGACTGACATCTTCTTCTTTAAATGGGGTGACCAAAACCTGATACAATACTGCAGGCGTGGTTTCACCAAGGCTCTACATTATTGCTGCAATGAATTGAATTTAATTGAATTTGAATGATTTATTGTCCCTTGCATTTTACAGGGAATAACACAGTAAAATGCAGTAAAAGAAGTTTCAACTTTCGCCACAATCCAGCGCCATTTTGAATAGCTTAAGAATAAAAAGTGTAAAAAGATATAACAGAAGGAGAGTATGTCTGCGTTCCACTGCCTCCACTATGAGTTGGCTCACCAATGACACCTGCGCCACCACCCATCCTCGACTGCCTCGCTGCCATCTGCTCTGGACTTACCCTCGTAGGTGTCGCCACACTTCAGGCTGGGCCCGGTCCCTTACTGAACCCACACTCACCCCATTACCAAGAGTCCACTGTACAGCTGCTGCTGCCTCCCCTAATAATCAGGAGTCCCCGCTCCAGATCTACCACGACTGCAACCAGGAGTTCTTGGTTTTGCTGCTGCCTCGATGACGCTAGGAGTCCCTGATCCAGGCAGCCTCACCAATGCCCACTCGGGGCCTACTGCAACCAGGAGTCCTGGCTCCACTGCCAGACCATGTCAGTGCTGCACCAAGAGTTCCACTCTGGCCACCCTCCTCAAAGATGTCACCTTCCTGGCGCTGCCATCTTGAAGAGTCCTTTCCTGCCACTGCTTCCCCTGATTGCCAGGAGGGCATCTTTGCTGCCAATCCGCCACCTCTGACCACCTGGAGGCCGCTACCGCTCTGCGCAGGGCCCGCTCTTGCCGCCGCGCCGATGCAGCTGACTAAACCGCCAAAGAAAAGAAGAAAGAAAGAAAAAGAATCAAAAGAAAAAGAGAGAAAAAAAATGAAAGAAAAAACAGATGGGAGCAGATGAGCTCTGGGCAAGAGCCCGCTTGGTCCTGCTACCCCACTGCCATCTTGGAAGGCCCAAAATGGATTGGTTAATGGACAGAACACAAAAAGTAATTCCCAGGTTGGCAGGCTGTGACAAGTGGATCAGTGCTTGGACTCAGCAATAACTCTCAGTGGGGGTGTGGGGTTTGGGGAGGTCAGGAAGGGGGAGCAGTGCTGGACATAGCAGTGGCAATGTGGAACCTTAATTAAGAATCTAGAACCCTGGGTTAGTGTTCTGCGACATGGGCTCAATCCACACAATGGCAAATAGTGAAATTTGAATTCAATAATAAATAGATCTTGAATATAAAAAGAAGCAGCATAATGATGACTGTTGAAAAAAATCTGGATCACTCATGTCCCTTAGGGCAGGAAATCTGTCATCCATACCTGGCCTGGCCCACATGTGACTCCAGACCCATAGTCATGTGGCTGACTTTTAGTTGCCCTTTGGGCAATTTAAAATGGACAATAAATACTGGCCCAGCCAGCTATGCCCACATCTTATGGGTGAATTAAAAGAAAAGATTTGGACACCATATCTCCAAGTTGGCTGATCACACAAAACCAGGTGGGAAAGTAAATTGTGAGGAAGGTGCAAAAAGGCTTCATGGGATTTGGACAGGTTCATTCACTGGGTAGCTGGTAAAATAGCAATGTGTGAAAAATATTGTTGGGAAAAACAGACGTGCTGAGTATTTCTTAAATTGGGAGATCTTGACCTCCTAAGGGACCAGGATGACCTCTTGAATGAATCACTGAAAGCCAGCATGCAGGTGCAGCAAGCAATTAGGAAAGTAAATGGTATGCTGGCATTTAATGCAAGAAAATTTCAATGCAGGAGTAAAGAATGGATTGCCTTCACTTTTTCTGATACTGAGGAAAGTCCTAGGTCAGTCAAAAGTTGGATGATTGTAAGCATTCTGTTCCCAGAGTGTATTATTCAGTTTGTGTCTAAAAGGCCAGTATTGGAAGAGGTGAATTGTACCTTTCAGCTACAGTTAGTGTGACAGGCTTAGGTTTGGAAGATATCAGATTTGCAACAAATCCAGTGCAGGTTCATGTCAACAATTGAGAGTACATAAACATGCATTTCTTGCTCTGTTGTTTACATGACTTACTATCTTTCTGTCTATAAATGCTGTTTTAACATTTCTTCCCTTTGTCTTAATTTCAAAATATATTTGCACCAATATTTGACATTAATGATCTGTGTCATTTCTGTTATACATGAAGGAGCATGTGATGACTTGTACAAATTGAATTAAAATATTGCATGCACATTACTTTGAGCTCATTTATATATAATATTCTTAATGGAAATATTTTTCTGGCATTTGTGGGAGAACAAAAAACATCTTTCTTGCTAACTGGAGATGTCAATTATTACCTGAGAGCTTTCTGGCGAGGCTCAGGGCAACCTAAAAGCTCTTATTCAGAGAAGCACCACAGCTTTCAGGAAGACAATGGCAAATATTTGCTGTCAAAGTAACAGGCAGACTAATGGTACTCAACATTATTTATGTGCAAGTGCTACAGTAATTTCAGACAGGGGCAATATCCTTAGAAAGAATTAAACGTTGCTCTCAAAAACAACATCTTTCTTCTGGATCACCATTGAATTGCACTGAAGTTGTATTTGCACAGCAGATATCGATGAAATGTTCTGCAGAACGTTAGGTCTTATCCATTCAAGTCCAAGTACTGTCACAATGACACGATAGCTTTGAAGTCTCAATTATTCCAATTACCTCTCTGCCACTTAAAAGTAACAATTATAAACATAAAGTCTTCTTTCTTCATGGTAGACTCATGCAGAAAATAAGGAGGCATGGGATACGGGGAAATGTGGCAGATTGGATTCAGAATTGGCTGACCCTTAGAAGACAAAGGGTGTTAGTGGACGGAAAATATTCAACATGGTGCTCAGTTAGGAGCAGTGTACCACAAGGATCTGTTCTGGGTCCTCTTCTATTTGTGATTTTTGTAAATGATTGGATGTAAGAGTGGAAGGGTGGATTAGTAAGTTCGCGGATGATACGAAGATGGATCGAATTGTGGATAGTGCGGAGGGCTGTTTCTAGGTTACAAAGGGACATTGATGGTATGTAGAGTTGGGCTGAGAAGTGGCAAATGGCGTTTAACCCTGAAAAGTGTGAGGTGATTCATTTTGGAAGGACAAATTTGAAAGCAGAATACAGGGTTAATGGAAAGATTCTTGGCAGTGTGGAGGAGCAGAGGGATCTTGGGGTTCATGTCCACAGTTCTCTGAAAGCTGCCACCCAGATGGATAGAGTTGTTAAGTAGGCATTTGGTGTGTTAGCTTTCATTAATAGAGGGATTGAGTTCAAGAGCCGTGAAGTTATGCTCCAGCTATACAAAACCCTGGTTTGGCCACATCTGGAGTATTGTGTCCAGTTCTGGTTGCCTCATTACAGGAAAGATGGAAAAGGTGCAGAGGAGATTCACCAAGATGTTGCCTGGAATGGAGGGAAGGTCTTATGAGGAAAGGTTGAGAGAGCTAGGGCTTTTCTCTTCAGAACGACGAAGGATGAGAGGTGACTTGATAGAGGTGTACAAAATGATCAGAGATTTAGATA